GGTACATGGCACTCACCTGTATGAACAATGATGAACACATTTTGTTGCAAGCGGCACCATGTGCATTTAAGTTTATTTAAACTTTTTCCCTGTGTACCCCGCAAGGGAGAGGACAGTACCGAGACACAAACTCCGAAGCAGGAAAGCTTCTTAACGTGGAATGTGAATAATAGGACACATCTCAGCTCTTGTATACTAGCATGTTCACAGTTACTTCCCTAGAGCTATGCTGATTTATACTGTTAATACAGCTGTTGTGACCACGTTTCCCAAATGTATCAGCTGGCACCCAGCCATTTTATACTAGGGATAACAGAGAAAACAGTGATTTTTTTTGGTCTCCATTTTCTACTAACAGTTGTGGTGTCAATAATAATTTGAAATTTAATGAGTAAGGGAAAGGCTGGTTCCCTTTGCCCTTTCCTTGGCATGATTTTGTGCTTTGGCAGTGATGTGCACTGTAGTGTTATGGTGAACAATCTTTCAGACAGTCGATCTGTGTGTAGCTTTTACCAAATTAAATGTAGCTGTGAAAGTGCAACATGAAGAATTTTACAAAGGCAAATCATTTGTCTTATCTCAAAAGATCTCAGTCTTGGACAATAGCCACATGATTAATAGAAACAAAATGATTAATCTTGCAGAGAATTTTGGCACAGATGTCAATGACTTTGTACAAATAAGTATCAGTCTGGACTTTTTCAGCTTTAAATGGTAGGCTTTTGCCTGTTTAGTTGGGCAACAGGGTTCCATTGCTATCAGTAGATCTTCACATGATCCAGACTTTGATGTCACATCAGTATGTTGATGATACTCCAGTCTGTAGTGCCAGACTCCCCAGAAATATCTGGCAAGAACAAGGACCTGGATGAAAACCAGTTGGCTAAAATTCCACCTGGATAATACACAGATGGTACTGCTCTGTGGCAGAAAACCATTCAGAGGAGATGACGAAAATCTACAACTGCTCCAGTGATTAAAGGCTCTGCCCATCCTTTGTTGAAGTGAAGATCTGTGCTGGGACCTTAGAGGCATCCCTGCCCATCAGTTCCCAGATTAATAAAAATAACCCCAACTATACATACAGTCTGATGGGGGCTAATTTGGCTACGACAAACTATATAAAACTATGGTACGCCCACATCTTGAATACTGTGTACAGATGTGGTCTCCTCACCTCAAAAAAGATATTTTGGCCTTGGAAAGAGTTCAGAAAAGGGCAACTAAAATGATTAGGGGTTTGGAACGGGTCCCATATGAGGAGAGGTTAAAGCAACTGGGACTTTTCACCTTAGAAAAGAGGAGACTGAGGGGGGATATGATAGAGGTCTATAAAATAATGAGTGATGTGGAGAGGGCCGATAAAGAAAAGTTATTTATTAGTTCCCTAAATAGAAGAACTAGAGGACACCAAATGAAATTAATGGGTAGCAGGTTTAAAACTAATAAAAGAAAGTTCTTCTTCACACAGCATGTAGTCAACCTGTGGAACTCCTTGCCAGAGAAGGCTGTGAAGGCTAGGACTATAATAGAGTTTAAAGAGAAGCTAGATAATTTCATGGAGGTTAGGTCCATAAAAGGCTATTAGCCAGGGGATAAAATGGTGTCCTTGGCCTCTGATTGTCAGAGGCTGGAGAGAGATGGCAGGAGACAAATCGCTTGATCATTGTCTTCGGTCCACCCTCTCGGGGGCACCTGGTGCTGGCCACTGTCGGCAGACAGGATACTGGGCTAGAAGGACCCTTGGTCTGACCCAGTACGGCCGTTCTTATGTTCTTATGTATAAACACCTTAAGAAGTTTATGACCCTGAACTCCATCTGTATCTAACCCCAAATACACCTCACAAGCAATGGTTGGTGCAAAATACTTGTTCCATCCACAGTGAGATAACAAGGTAAGGTCATCTCCTACCTGGGCTTCATTCCCTGTTTGGAGAATCCTAGATGACAGTCAGGACACTCAAATATATTTAACAGGCAAAATTATTCACAATTTTAAATTCTCAGGGTGCAAATATTGCATTCAGTGGAACTAAACTAGGTGCCTTTTATAAATTACTTATGAAGTTATGAAACAAAATACAGGACTATGTAGCACTTTAAAGACTAACAAGATGGTTTATTAGATGATGAGCTTTCGTGGGCCAGACCCACTTCCTCAGATCAAATAGTGGAAGAAAATAGTCACAACCATATATACCAAAGGATACAATTTAAAAAAATGAACACACATGAAAAGGACAAATCACATTACAGAACAGAAGAGGGATTTGGGGGGGGGGGGGAGGAAAGGAAGGTGAATCATGAAGTTATGGTGCAAGATTATTTTTGTATGGTAACAATCAGTGTTTGGGTTGCATTGGTTAGTTACATAAGTAATCTAATCAGGGTACAGAAACAATACCACTTATATAACTAATTGTCAGGAATAGGGTTTTGAGGCAGAGCACTGAGAACTCATGCTATCTAAACATTGCTAAAAGTATAGGAAGCCAAAACAACTGGTTGATTTAAAATAGCTGGATGTTTGGCACACCGTCTGGAAAAACCTAGTTATTTCTTGTAAATTAAGTCCACATGTGCAATCTCACTTTGTTGCACAACTTTGCTCATAAAACTTGCAGGCATGCTATAGTTTAGATGAGCAAAAGAACTCCAGATTTATTAATCATGGTTATCTAGCTTGCATCCAACATAATAAGGTACAAGCAATGAAACAATGTTAATTGGATTCGAATATAATGTCCGGCTTTTTGGTCCGTGGCCAAAAGAAATGACATGTTCTGGAAGAATGTCATATAGTAGGGTTCTTCTCACTTGAGCAAATGGTGGTGACCAAAAATTCAACATTGGGCCTGCCTACCTGAGAATCCAGAGCTTATAGAAGGTCAGTGGAAGTTTTATTGCAAACACGGTCATAGTCCTATGTTTATATAACTATTGGGTCCCTTTCAAAAGTTTTAATTCTATTATCTGAGGAAGCTGCTCAAAGAGTCTTCACTCAAGAGGTCAGTAGGTCTGTAGCAGCTTGTCAGCTCCGGGTCTGATTGAAAGTTCATTCAACAGTCTTTGGATCAGGCCCTGAAAGAGTGGTTCAGGGTGCTCAACAGAAATCTGTTTTATACAATTCAAACTACAGTCCCCCTTTGATCTCTCACGGTTTTACCTAACTTCTCTTCCGAAACAAAATCTCCAGTGACTCAGGGCTACACAGGAGAAACCATTGCAGGTAGAAACTTCGGAATCCGGACTTTGCTGGTCTGGCAACCTTCCTGGCCCGGCATCATCAAAGTGACCCTGTGGTGCCAAGAGCATTGCTAGACTAGGGGGTCAAAAGAGTGGAGCCCTGGGTGGCAGCAGGGCTGCTAGAGAGAGTCCATGGCAGTAGCTGAGCTTTCAGGCAGAATGTGGAGCCCTAGAAGCAGCAGGTGTTGCTGGGGGAACACAGAGCCCCTCCCCCCAGGTGCAAAACCACAGGGCAAAAGCAGATCCCCACATGGCAGCAGGGCCAAGGAAGAAAAGTGCATTGACCTCCCCTGGTCTGGCAAATTCCCTGATCCGAGCCAGTCAGGTCCTGAGGGTGCCAGACCGGGGAGGTTCAATCTGTAATAACTCTTAAATCATGGAAATATTTCAATATTCTAAGTTAAATCCAGTTTTAGTGATAAAGCTGGACTCACTGCTAGATCTGTGGACCTGAATACATTTTTGTAAAACTAGAATAGCTTGCTAAAAACCATTTGCCTTTTGTTTTGATATAGAGAAGCTTTATTATTATCTGAAGGGTTCTTCCTATGACCAGGAACAAACAGACAAACAAGTCCCAGAAATATTTACCGTTCCCCCTTTAAAAACTTCATACTGTTTGCACACTATCAGCTCAGTGTATTCTTTTTGGCACAACAAGGGTTTCCTGGATGAGAAAAAGTTTAGGTCGGTTGGAATGGAAAAAGTGATCCTGAAAACATAGTCATGTTCATTTACAGATGATATTCTCCGCTGCCCAACTGTTATGGACACTTCTGGATGTACACTACAGAACACAAGTTAAGTTTTATTGCTGTGGATTGTATGGAAATGGAAAAGTTATTTCTTCTGTTTACATATCTTTTGTTTTATTTCCTACGTGATGGACACACAAGCAGATAATTACATTGGAACAATCTGCTTTACACAGATGTCTGGATAGTCAAAACTTCTAACTTGAAACCAGCCCCATAAAACGTAGAGATCATATAACCTGGTTAATCAGAAATGTTTTTAAAACTTAATATAAAAGATGTAAATTGCAAACAGATGTACCTGAGCAAGGCTTTGACCAAAATATTCTTTTTAAAGATGTCAAGAGAGAAATCCTTGCAAGTAAAATAATCTTGAACCTCAGAGAGAGAGATTTAGCTACTTAAGAAAGAATTATAGTTGAACTATATGCAAAAATATCATCCATGTTAGTTTTGCTAATCTCTTGAGATTGAGGAATTGATCTGAACGCTAAACCTGAGGCTGCCTCAGGGATACTCACACAGCAGAAGTTTGGTAAGCTTCCGACAAATGTACATACGGAATTTTGATAATGGAATTAAGGTGCTTTCAGCTGTGTGGCTGGATTTATTCACTTGCATCCCACATAAAGCAGCCCACGGTACATGCCATTACGCTGTATATATTATGAATTAAGGCATGCTAGGGTTCAGTAGCAAGAAGTGTAAATATTTATCAACACATTTGTTATTTTTATCCCAACAACATTTTTAAAAGTTCACCCGGAAAACTGCCCCCAATAAATTGTGTTGTTTGGGTTCCCCTGATTCACGTAAGAGTTACTCGACGCCACACAGGTGGTAGAGTTGACAGGACATCTTGTTGCCTTACTGGAGCCCATAATCCCATGTACAAAGTGCAGGCATTGTACAGAAAAGAACGCAAAACAAAGTGTCTCTGCTCTCAAACAGTTCCTTTCCTGAAATAATCTGACACTGACCTTCATCCTTGCAGTTACCTTTTCTCCATGTAACTAGCCAGATGCTAACTTTTGCCTCTCCTGCTTCTGCTTGTATGATGGGATGAAATGCAACTTCACCCATGTTGCCCCCAGGTCCTGCCAGTGCTGTGATTTGGATTCGGGGGATCACGTCAGTTTCCATTCCTACACCCTCCGGATGCCCTGTGCAGCAAATCCTTTGTCACCCATCTCTGCATGGAGCAATAAGTCTTCCAGACACTCTCTCTGCAGGCTGCTAACAGAACTCAACATTTATATTCACTGGCCTCCTCTGTTTACCTCCCTAATCACACTTTCTTCCTGTTTGTGTCATTGGTCCTGCTTCCCTCACTTAATGATCAGCTGAGTTTTGCAACAGAATATTGACTTTCTATTCTTCCACCATAGGGAGTTGCAATATTCTGGTTTTCAACACACGTGCAAACCACACACAAAATCTATCCTTGCTACATTCTGGTGAAATGTGGAGATGAAAAGAAAACAAAATTTAGCCCCAGCTGGTATTCCAAAGAGAACTACATGCCTACAACATCCTGCTCACTTGGTCTGCTCTAAGTGGAAAGGGTGAACAATCAACCAGGAACAATAATGAGTCCATTGTGACCCTAGTGCTTTGTGCAGTCTTAACTAACTGGTCTGCTGCTCTCAGCTGTTGGTGAGTTGAGTATTAGCAAAGTCATCCGCATTGAATTCCCCCCTGGTATGACTAAGGACAGCCCTGCAACAAAAGACACCAAGTACACGGCTGCATGGGGCACCAAATTTTTGAGTGGTCCTATGCAACAGTGTGTGATCATGTACCTACGGACTTCCCTGTCTGCTGCCCACTGGTTCTGCACTTCCCCCGGCTGCTCTCAGTCACTAGCAGCATGGCCCTGTCACCTTCCTCCCTCCGCTCATGTGCTCCTATCAGCCAGCTTGTATGGGTGGTAAGACACGGGAGGGGTAGGACAAAGGAAGCCCTGAGCCCTGGTAGGAGCCATGCTGGAGGGAGGGCAGAGGGAAGCAGAGCCCCAGCAGAAGTTGCACATGAGTGGGAGTCGAGGGAAGCCATAGGGGGATGCAAGGGAAGCCCCAAGACCTGGCAGAATCCACGCAGGAGCAGGCAGCTTTAGATAACTCGCATAGGGCCCCATAAATTGTAACGACGGCCCTGTTTTCTTGGAAGGAACCTGAGCTCCCTTCTCTTTACCCACCTTTTCATCTACTCAGTGTAAACTGAGCTGTCCTAGAGTGTGAAGGATTAGTGTGAATGTCAGGTTGCTGCTTTAATACAACATTGAACAGAGCAATTCTCCGCTACAGACTATAAAGTCCTATCAATTGCACCAATGGGAGTTCTGTATGGAATGCTCCTCAGTTGCTCTGACCATCAAGCCCCATCCTATACCACGAAATGTCAATGTCTGATGCACAGATTTGAAGATCACCCCAGGAATATGTAACCAGGAATCGCCCTGGCATTAAACCCTCACTCATTTATTTCTCTGTGTCTTGGATGACCCAGGCAGGATTCATTGCTTTGACCAGTCTAGGAAAAAATCCCTGCTAGAACAAACTCTGGCAGATGGAAACCAACATGTTACCCATTATGTCATCAGTTACAACCCTGGCCAAGAGCATCACACAAACTTTCCTTATCAATAAACAATTAAAATAAAAACCTATGTGCCCTGCTGTTCTTTGGGAATAACTCATGTTTCATTTTCACTGCTAGAATGAAAGCTACTGCTTTGCAGGAGTCAGTGTGGCCTGGTTCCTACAACACTGGGCTGGCACTCAGAGCTATGGTTTCTATCCCCAGCTCTGCGAGGGTACGTCTACACTGCATGCTTATTTTGAAATAAACTATTCCAGAATAGTTATTCCAAAATAGCTTGTTTCAAAATAGCACGTCTACCCTGCAGGGAAGCCTCAAAATTAGTCTGAGGCAGGCTTCCCTAATCTAGACGTGCTATTTCAGAATAGGCGTTATTCCTAGTAGAATGAGCTTTACAGATTTCGGAATAAGCCATCCATTATTTCGAAATTATTTTGAAATAACAGAATGGCTGTGTAGACACTCGCATTGTTGTTTCAAAACAACACTAGCTATCTCAAAATTATGGTGCAGTGTAGATGCACCCTTTGTGACATGCTGGTTGACTCTGGACAAGGGGGGATGCTATTTTAGATTTG